GATATTTAACATTTAAAAAAAAATGATTAAAACTAACCTTGATTACGAGGAGCTAATTACATATGTATATATATAAATACCAGCAAGTTTTGGGACAGAACTCCAAGAGCCATGGCCGTGGGCGGTTATATGTTTGATAAGTTTCTCATCTTCTTCGGGAGACCACAGACCCCTCTTTACTTTCTGCTTGTTGCAACACTGATGCCCCATCCTATATCGATAACCTACCTCTTCTTCAACCTCTTAGTTCTTCGATATCTAATTTCCCTGCATGCTCCCTTGTATATATATATATATATATATGATCGATCCAGCTATATATATTAGGTATATGCTGTACGACGATGGTTGGTGATGAAGAAATGAAGAGAGAGAGAGAGAGAGAGGGGTTTTAGGGAATCTAAAGGAAGGGGCCGTAGTGATTAGAGAAGGACTGGTTTTGATTAAGTGTTTGGTAGGTTTCAAGCTCTGTCTTGATCTCTTCTTTAATAATTAAATGTTCGTCTTACTTTCTAATTCCAATAATAACCATGTTTTTCAACAAAGTAATTCCTTTAGAAATATCCAAATGATGGATTGAACATGGATTCATACTATTTACCAACATTACAAGAAAATTGACCTGCTGCAACAGTAAATTTTGGGTTTATCACATACATATGATATATATTGATTTCAATATTATTTATCAACCACTTTTTATTACCTATCAACACCCCTCGTAGTGATATATTCAATCTAACAATTTCTGTAAATGGTTACAAACTATTATTAATTTTCAAAATAAATAAAATAAATTGTTTTGATACATCTTTCTCTACATTAACATGATTTTGCTATAAAAAAAAAATAGAAATATGTAATTTATAAAAAAATAGTTTCCATAATGTTAAATAAAAATGATATTTTATAACAAAAATTAATTCTGTTGCAAAAAACATAAACCTTTTAGGAAAATTTTTATGGTTTATTTATTTATTTTTTAAAAAAAAAAAAATCTTTTACAATGAATTCTGCAATTTTTATGAAACATATACTTTTTTACTTTTATGATTTGCAATACAAAATCTATTTCAATATAGCAAAAATAACTTGGATCATGTTAAAAAAAGAAAAGTACAAATAAGATTTATAATCCTAAAAGTAAAAGCTATTGTAAAAAGTAAACAAAAACTTTTTTTTTTTTTTTTTGATGAAACAATTCATTGCAAAAAGTTGTTTCTCTTATATATATATATATATGTATTTCTCTTAACATGTGGAGTTTAAAGCATAGGCATGAACCCATAAAGTAGCCAATCCAAATAATATTTGCAATAATATTAGATTGGCAATAACTTTTTTTTTTTTTTACTGTTAGTGAAATACAAAGTATTCTCAACAATTTTACTCTCGATTCGAAATTAAAAAATAAAATATATATATATATATATATATCAAAAACTCATTATAGATATCAATTTGCAAGCTTTCATTGTATCGTGGCTAATAAAACTTTTTAACCTTTTAGAAAAGGGGCTTTGTGATTATAATATATATGTATGTACATATATAGCTTTGGGTTGGCACAATTACGGGAAAGATGAAAGATGAGATAATAATGTTACCACTTAATTAAATATAAATTTTTGTACTATATATATTGGTTTTTAATTCCTTACAATAATGATGATGAAATAAGCATTGGAGTGACCTTATTCCGTACATAGAGAAGATACATATAGTTTTTTTTATCTAAGTAAAAAAAAAACATATCTTTTATAGCAAAAAAGGAAATATTTATCGTATATCTTTTCTAATAATTAGTTTGTTTTTGGTAATAAATATTTAAATACTATTTCTCTTTTTGGTAAAATGTTTAAATAATTCACTTACAAATAAAGAAAAGCAAGCAATAATATATACATATGTATATATTATGTTGACTGTACAAGGGAAAGAGCCATGATTGGTGGGTAAGGCCCGCCATTGAGGGGAAAAGCTTTTATGATTCCAAGCTAACCCAACCCACCATCATTTCTTCCATCCAAATTCAACGTGCAAATTAACTCTTTCTAGAACCATGATAATTATTTATATGCATGTTTAATTAATCATATGTACGTACACGCACAGAGATTATATAATACTAAAAGGAATACATGTAAAACTTCAAATATATATTGATTATATTATGAATTGTTCAACATCTTTATTTAAATTTGGGACTGAAAATTACAAGTTTTATAAGTTAGAAGGACAAGTTTAGAACATGAAATTGTGAAGCCATGCATGTTTGTATATCTTCTAGATCAATTTATAACTAGTTACATATAACCACGCTCAAGATACACACACACACACACACATATATATATATTATTATAAATGTGAACTGAAATTATAGTTTTTTTCATCTAATTTGAATTGAAATATAAATATTTAAATTATTATATATATGCGGAGGTGGCATGTCCCTTTCTTCACTCGACTGATAGTTGACGGGGCTGTGGATTTCTTGCTTTCAACGAAGATGATGATGATTGGATATGTCTGTTTTCATAATCCATTTAGTTTTCTTTTTTTTTTTTTTCTTCTGCTGCTAACTTTCCATTTTTCATTATCATTATATATGTATTCAAGAAGGAGAAAATCACGTCCAAAAGTAAAGAACAAAAGCGGCGAGGGATGATAAAAGAATATATATATACATATATATATATACTGCTTTTAAATGTTAATGAAAGAGGCTGTTTGTCTTTCTAAAAAGTCAATTTTGGTTTTCCTCGATGGAAATCATGGAATCATCACAACATTTTATAGTAGCTGTTAAAGTAATCTTTCTTTCGTTTAAGAAATTTAATATATACGTAATTCTATATACTATGTATTTCAATGTGATTATTTCCTTATACCGTAGCTAATTATGATTTTCATATCACAACTTTAGTCTCGTAATAACCTTGTGAGAGAGACTCTCATCTTTACCTCCAACTTGCATGAAACTACTTAACAAATTAAATTTTTTTAAAAAAATTATTTTTTTTGTAAATTTATATTTTATTACTCTTTTACTTCTTATCTTATCTTTATTTTAATTTATTTTGTGTTTTCGACATTGTTATTTAAGTATTAAGATTTCTAATCCTTTTTTTTTTAACTAATTTAACTCTTATTTATTAGTTATTATTTTAGTTTCTATCTATTGTTTTTGTTTTTTTTTATATATAATATGTATGTGTATATATATATATATATATATATAATTGAGATGCGGGTGGTGCTCAATAATAGTGGATGTGTTAGTAAAATCATACATATAAAGTAGGATTGTATGGATAGATGCCAAATTAAGGAAGATAGATTTGAAAGAGTAAAAGGTTGGATAATGATTAGTCAAATTTTCAACCAACAAAAAGATTATGCAGACTGATCCGTACAATTGCCAGCCGACAAGGCCATCGTCTTGTTGCATGTCACGAGGCAAACCCAAAAAGAGTCTTTACCTTCGATAATGACCTCATTCCTCTGCCTCTGTCTTTAACGTTATTCTACTCGTACTATAATTACCAACTATACAAATTAATACACCAAACCAATTTAACTCTATATATCCATATATATATATTTATGAATTACCCTTTTTAATTGAGGTGAATCATTGGTACTATAATATTTTTCTTTGTAAAAATATAAGTTTAAATTGAATTGTTCTTGTTACAATATTAATTATGTTACTTCTTAATTAAGAGATTAATTGAATTCTTATTAATATAAATATTACTTAAGTACTCTATATATAGTAGTAGATCAATGTTGTACGAATAATATTAAAAAGGGGGTTGGTTGGTTGATGAACAATATGTGATTTAGATAAATATAATAATAGTTGTAGCAAAAAGATATATGATTGCAATTTTTATCTTTTGAGAAAAACAAAACAAATGTTATATTAAAAAAGTAATTCTAAAACTTAGGGAGAAAAAGCAAGATGAACCCAAAAACAGAATATATATATATATATGTATATAATTATGTTTATATAGAAACATATTGATCGCTTGAGGAGTGGGTGTAATCAAGTCTCTTTGGCTTTTTTTTTTTTTTTTTATCCTTCTATTATAATTGAAAGAGATAATCATGGGTTTGTCGGTAAACAATATTATGTATTAATTAATTAACGGAGAGGTCAAAAGCATATGTTGGGAATATCTTTCATGATCAACTCACGTTTACCCGCCGGTGACGCGAGTTTTCCCCTTCTCCATAGTTATAGATTAAATTAGAATACCATAATAAACAAGCAAAGAGAATTTGGTTATTGATTTAATGTCTTCTATCAAATCAGTTTATTTCAGAGGCTAAGCTAATTTTATGTTTTAAAAAAATACTTTTATATAATCATTTAATGTAACGACTCTAAAATTTTTTTTAAAAAATACATATAATAATTTGAGTGCAGAAGTAAAATAAATGTTAAAATTAACATCCCTTACGCGATAACTCAAAAGTACTAACAAATATCACAGAACAAATTTTCTGAAAGAAATATGAAAAATAGAAAAAAATAAAAGAAATTATAAAGTATCTAGGGTCTACTCGTAACCATCTTGCGGATCGGGTTCGGAGACCGAGTTCTCATGATCTGAAATGGTTAAATAAGGGGTGAGCTACATTAGTCCAGTAAAGACATCACAACATATCGTCGTCACAGAAGTAAAGGTTGGTAGAAAATCAAAAATAACCAATGGATCACAAATTTTAAACATATTCATTTATCAATAATAAAACCATTTACCGTCCACTTACTGCAATGAGATTTATAAAAATAATATATGGAAACAATAATATTATAAATATCATGATTTCATATATAATCTGCAACATAGCACATATTATACTTTTATATTCAAATCATCAAACAACAATTGCTCTTTTTTATCAGCCTACTAGTATTCATGGGGATCCATAGGGGTGTCCCGCTACACGTGAACCCTTTTCATTAACAATCTTAATTTCATGGTCGTCCCCATATTCCATCCAGTATGAGTGCCAAGACATTAAACCTCAGTACCCCGTCCGATATGAGGGTGAAGCGGGCCGTTCCCGTCCCACGCCCGGTATAGGCGCCAAA